GTAGACCACCCTTTAGGGAGGTTGATGGGTAGTTCTGTGGGCTGAGACTTGGTGCTGAGTGTGACGGGCCATACTTACTGCTATTTCCCTCCAAAAAAAAATGGTTTGACAAATGTGTTGTAACATTGGCCAACGATTTTGTCCAACATTAAATCAACTTTTTCTGATGCCTTGAAGGAGAGACAAAGCAACTTCCCCCCTTGCTTCTGCAAGTAGATCTCAGGATTAGTGTTGTTATCAAACAGTGTAGGAATGATTGATATAACCGTCATCTTCACAGATGTCAAGGCAATACTTTGCTCCTCCCCACTAACCACAGGGAAAAAAACCCCGAAGACACGGGCTGTTTACCATTCTAATAGGCTTTGAAACAACTACCTCTTTTGACAAGGAACTGTGAATAATGATTTGGACTAAGAATTCTGTCGTGCGAAACCCAAGCAGTTATCTTTCACCTAGATGTAAACTTCCAAAAGCTCATACAGATTAACAGTTTTTTAGCAACCTTGATAAAATCCCCTAAAAGGATTTTAAGTCAAAGGATAGAACAATGAAAATTATGTCATGGAGCTTATAATTTCACCGCTCAAACTTAACTTGACAATCTTCAACTGGTTTGGAGGCAAGTAATTCTGGCAACATCTTCATCTTTTACATTTAAGAAGATCCATGATGAGCTGAAAGGGGTTATTCTTGCACCAAAGGCTGAATGATCTTTGGAGGCAGAGAGGATCTTGAACCTCTTAGTGGAAAAACTGTCCACTAATCTTGATTGTAACGTTCTAATTAAGGCTCTTAGCTTCCTTGAGACACAGCACCCTAAGTGAGAAAAGTCTTAAACAGCCTTAGGTGGTTTGCACTTAAAATTGTTCATTCCAGCATTTAAAAACTTCAACACAAAACTGAAAGCAGGGAATACGGGACTTTGCTGAGAGGAGGTTGTTTTTTACTTTCGTTCCAGGATAGTCATCAATCTGATTTTAAAACGTTCGGCATCCTCCCTCATCTGAACCTCCAGGTAAAATAATGCTGAGTTTATTACAATGAATCCCGTTTGAAGACTTCTATCATAAAACCCCATTTGCTGAACTTTTTTCACATCCATATGACATAATCTTCACACGTAACTTTCCACAAATTGTCACTCTTCAGAAAGAATAACAGCTCTTTGAAACAATCCCAGAAGGGAAGATAAGAGAATTGCTATGGAGGACTTGCATCTTTGTGGCTCTGTTAAACGCAATTGACTACCTTCATAAATACAACCAAACAAGGGCAAAGCAAAAGATTTATTTTCAACGGAGATCAAACGTTTGGTGAAGACCACAGTAGGTGGCAGACAAAGCACGATCAGATCAAAACATGGCTGACAAGGAAAACAGTGGGTTAAACAGTGGGTGGGTCAGCAAAGGATAAAGGAACAAAAGGCAAGAGTTGGAGAGGACATGACTAAAAACCCCTCCACCCAAGACTTGTTAAGAGATTGACTGAATGGATAAAGCTCAAAAAAAATTTCAAAAATGCAGATCAATAAGAGTTTAACATGAAGAGACAACTCTTTTTGGAAGGACAATTGGGTGGGAACACAGTCTGTCATGTACTCTTTCCCTCAAGTGTTTGCAGTAGAACAAAGAAAAATATGTGATGCAGAAAGATGCATGGAAAGAAGATAATAGACATAGACAATTGGAATTTTGTAACGAGAAGAAATTTATCCAAAGAGGAGTATACCAACGATTTCTACAGCTTATTAATATATGGAGCTTACATTATCAGGTTGATTTAGGTAAAGTCATGTTTCTTTTACCTGACATATGCGATATGTGCGAAGTTTCTTTAGAAAAATCTTGGTATTGACAATGTGGAGGGTAAATAATCAAAAGAAGTTACAATCTTCAAGTGGACTGAGTGAAATGGAGGTTTATACCCACCAGAAAGGATTCAAAAAGATGCCCTATCATGAATATTCATCCAAATTGGTTCTCTGGTATGGAAAAATGAAAAGGATCAGGTGGATCATCGATTATTTTCATTGTTCTTTTAGTTGGAAACACTGGTTTCAGTTTTTACAAGAGTTCCTTTTTTTTTTTGACAAGAAACATTGGAAATATGTTTTTACAAGAGTTTCAAAAAATCGTAGGCCATTGGTTTCTCAGCAAAAGATAACATTGAGCAGTTACCATATGTTCAAAGGCTTGAAAGCTAAGAAAAATTTCTTTGAATCATACCCATAAGCTTTTCACTCTCTCAATGAAAAGTTTTGTTTCTTTAAAAGTACAATATATCCAAACAAAAGTTGAAGGCATAAACAAAAGTACTTGGTTAATAAAGAAGCTTACAGTTTTTGGCTTCTTCCTCACTCATTCCCAAGAAGTGAGCCGTGTCATGGATGCTTAATGTAGAATAAGCGGACACCAGCAGCTGAAACATTCTCCTTCTGTAAAGATCTGCAACATGAAAACCAAAATTATTTTGATGCTTAAGATCCATATCATATTTTTTAAATTCTTGGGGGTTGGAGAATTGCAGTGACCAACATCCGCATTTACAAGTTTCAGACAACAGTACCAACAAGCAAGCACAACTAAAAGAAAGCATGTCTGATGGCTTTAAATTAAGCATCCTCGTCCAAACAGTTTGACTCTGATTCATTAAGGGTTTTGTTAGCCTTAGTTAGAGCCATAGCTGGCCACCCTCATTGATGTATTGTGGTGGGAGTATTGGCCCCTAGGAAACACATCAATTTTGGTGGATACCTTGCTTATCAAATTGTTAGGTATTTTACTAGGTTATTGAGCTGAACCGAAATCAAACAGCTATATTTTAGAAATGAAAATAAATACATAAACTAAGCCAAACTGCCAGAGGGGTAAAAATTGAGCTCAAGATTCATTCGGCTCGGTTTGATGGTTTGGCACGGTGGGTGGTGGTTAAAGGGTTATTTTTCTCAAATAATTATCATCTTATTAACCATCAAACCCCCAGCCTCTATGCATGAATGTGAAGAAATTTCATCTAAGCCTCTTTGAGTTATATTATTACTCTTCCTCCGTTGAGCCTATTTTGCCATCTCCCGCTCATAAAAGCTTCACCAAAACATGGCATTTCATCTCCAAATTGAGCAGTATCTTCTATGGGAAGAATAGAAAGAAACTTGGGGATCGGATGAATACATCCTTTTGTCTTGATTCTTGAAATGAAGAGGGTCCTTTTGCAGTCACTAATCCCAAGCTATACAAGCTCTCCAACCGTGCAAACTTCTCCACTTCTGAGGTTTGGAACCCATCCATATTAGCTTGGGAGCTGGCTTTCCTAGGAACCTCAAAGATGATGAGATTTTGGAGTGGGTTTCACTCTCTAATTTGCTATCCACGATGATTCTCAAGGAGGATGCTGATAGTTGGGAACTTGGGTCTGGCCACTATATCCACCACAGAATTTCCAGGCTAAATCTATAAATATTGCTTTAATGGTCAGCCGAAACACCGAGTGTAATCCCTTTATAGCATCATCTGAAATGGTCTATACCCCAAAAAAATTAAAATTTTTCGCTGGGAGCTTAGCCACTGGGGTATAAACACAGGAGATTGTCTTCAGAAAAGGTTGCATGCTCATTTTCTATCCCTCAATGGGTGTGTCATGTGCTAAAAGAGCTCTGAATGTCCCAGCCACCTCTTTACTTTTTGTCCTTTTGCTAATCACTGGGCTGTTATGATGGAAGCTTTTGGTTGGTCTATCTATGATTCCCCAGCAAACATCCCTGATTTCAGGCTCTCATTTCTTTTTTCTTTTTTCTTTTTTCTTTTTTTTTTCTGATAGGAAACTGCACTTTTCATTAAGATAAATGAAAAAATATACAAAAAAACATGGGCACACAAAAATAAGAGCCCGACGAGGAGAAGCACTAGCTAAAGAAGGGCTTCCAATCCAAAAGAATCTGACCTAGTTGATAATTACAAAACTTCGAAACAGAACCCCATAAAGAAACATTAAATCTCACAAGCTCCCGAACGGCCTCGCTCTCTCTTTACACCCCTAAAAATTCTATTGTTCCTTTCCAACCAAACTCCCCACAAGAACGCAAAGAAACAAGCTTGCCACAAAAACCTCCTTTACTCACGAAAATGAGAAGCCGAGAGCACTTCCTCCACCATAGCCCCCAATCTCTATGTCGGGCCCAAGAAATTTCGTACATGTCAAAGAACTGACTCCAAATCTTCTGGGCAAAAATACAATACCATAACATGTGATCAAGACTCTCAGAGTCTTGTTTGCAAAGAACACACCATTGCGGACCCAAACAAGAAGAAGAATGCTTCTGGATACGATCCAGGGTATTGATTCTCCCAAGTAAGATCTGCCACACGAAAAACTTAATCTTCTTTGGGATATTGACTTTCCAAAGCGAGGCAACACAGGGCAGCCGGGGAAGGATAGGGGAGCACAAAATTTTAAATAATGACCTGCAAGAGAAACCCCTAGAAGGAGTAGGGGCCCAAACACAGACATCCTTCCTATCTCGGGAGAAATGGACATCAGAGAGAAGATGGAGCAACTCTCCCGCTTCGCGAGACTCTCTATCAGTTAAAGACCGATTGAGACCTAAGGAAATAGAAGGTCCTTCCTCCCCAAAGCCTAGCACCGAGGCCACCAAGTGCAACCTTCTGTCTGATAATAGAAAAAGGCAAGGAAATAAAGAACAAAGGGGCTTTACTCCCACCCAGTGGTCCTCCCAGAAGTAAGTATCATAACCATCTCCAACCACAGAAGACACGAAATGGGAAAAGAGAGGAAAGCCTGAGGATATAGCCTTCCAGGGGTTATTAGCACAAACCTTATGCCCTCTATCTGAAACCCAATCAAAGGGGTGCGGCCTATACTTACTCAGAATAATCCTCCGCCATAAAGCCCTAGGCTCATGGAAAACCTCCAAAGCCATTTAGCCAAAAGTGCATCATTTCGAAGCCTTAAGTTCCCAATGCCTAGGCCACCTGCCTCTGACGGTTTGGAAACCATACCCCAACTGACTAAATGTGCTCCACCTCCCTCCTCCACCCTTTCCCACAAAAAATCTCACATAATTTTTTCCAAGCTTTTACAAACAACTATAGGGGCTTTAAAAATAGAGAAATAATACAACGGAATCCCACTTAAAGCCACTTGAATGAGCGTTAACCTTCCTCCTTTAGAGAAAAGACCTTTTTTCCACAAGGACCGATGTTTCTATATACCATCCTTTTAGGGATGGAAAAAGGACACTGTGGTGGCTATTAACAGAGCTTTCTTTTGGAATATTTGGTGTGAAGGTTGTTGACTCATTTATTAGATTCAGTTCTTTTAAATGCTTTATACTGGTGTAAATGTTACACTTACAGCCTTTCAAAGATTCCAGCCATACTTCTCGTCACAAGGTGGTGATGTTTTTGCAGTCGAACATCGGTGGTAGGGAGGATTTTCCTTCTTTTTTTGTATAATTTATTTTATCAATGAAATCTTTGTATCTCCCAAGGAAGAAAAGAAGAAAAAGAAAAAGAAAAAGAAAGATCTCTTATAACTCTACACTTCTTTATATTTTCTCACACCCCAAATTAGAAGGAATGATGTGAAATTCTAAAATTTTGTTCAAAATTTCAAATCAGTTTGCTTCCGTCTCACAAAATCAACTCTTTCACCTTCTTTGCATCTCTCCTTCCATGAAACCTAACTTCTTAGCTGCCACCTGATCCAATGAGCATCTCCTAACTATTAACACCACCCTCCCAACACCAAGGCAAACGCCATCTCATCACTCTGGAAAATGGTTGCCTTTGACCCAGCCTTTACCTTCTTATCCAACTCGGCATGAGAATGTACTTTCACCTCCAAGGATTAATGGGGAAGCTGGATGTGGGAGGGGAGGGGAAGGGAATCAGTGCCGCTTTAGGTAGAAAACTTTCAAGCTTTTCCTGCAAGGGAATCACTCTCCTCAACCGAACTCTAAGGCCACAATGTTAAAAAGGAGCTTCCTTTGAATGGGCAAAGATCCCAATTAGGCAGTCTCTAACCCAAGCCACCCAAGCACAAAACCAACACCAGAGAATTATGTCTTCCTTTCTCTACTACATCCACACTCTTTTCCGAGCCCTTACAGCCAAACTCAAACATCTTTCTTTCAATCTTTAGAGACCCCCTAACCAGATCACTAACCCTCATACGCCCACTGCCTAACGAGGAGGCAACAGTGTTTCAAACACTCATGAGATAGAGAGGTCAACAAAAAACTCGGACACTCATCTTCAATTTCCCCATCAATTGTTGAGAGCTCTCAATGGGAGTTTTAGATCTGTGTCCGAAGCCTTTTGTAATTATTCCTTAGGTTTGATCTTGCTTTATTGAAGCCCTTTGTTTGGCTTCCTTTTGTTGGGCTGTGTTTTTGGATGCCCTTCTGTATTATGTCATTCTTCCCCATGAAAGTTTGGTCTTCTTCTCTCAAAAAAAACCTTTAACCCAAAAGGTAGGTTGCCCTTTTTGAATTAGCATGACGATAGCCATGAATTCACCTTTGTATATTGATTTGTATATGCATCAGTGGGGTAAAAGAGGGCTAAAGTAAGCAAATAGGCTGCTGGTTTTTGCGCTATCTTCAAGCAAATTATCAGTTATTTGGTTATCCATCTCAATGATTCGTAGTTATAGTCTAATGTTCTAGCTTCAATCTTAGTAATGAATCATTTAACTTATGATCCATGATTTTCACCTGCATAAGAATCAAATTGAATATCACAAGTTTTCTCAGCCATGTTACCAGGAAAAAATATGGAAACACAAGATCTATTCTAGATACCGAAAAAAACAAAACTATTTGAGTTAGCACGTCTGGAATGTTCAACGGAAAAGTTATTTTCACACTCAACTTAGAGAAGAAAAGGCCCACTCACATCAAACACGTAAAGTTGAGGAAGCATATGATTTTAAGAACGAAAGTGAAGCAGGCTTGTTTTAGGTTAGTTGCCCATTATGAGTTCTCTTGTGCATTCAAATCCTAAACCTAAATTTAAATCTTATCCCAAAAAAAAAGCCTAAATTTAATGAATCGCCGTATAAGGCAACATTTTTGTTTCAACTGAAAGGAGAGTTCCCTTGGTTCTTTGTGATCTTTGCCATCAATACCAACTATTTCTCATCTAAAAAAGATGAAAATATGTCTAGCATTTCTTTGGAAATACCTTTCAACAAAAATCTTACAATTTTTTTTTTTTATAACTGGGAGTCGGAGCTTTCGTCCCCTATACCCTGGCGCACCCGACCCGAGGCCCAGACCCAAAATATTACAAAAATATTATATAGTGAGACAAACTAAGAATTGTTTAAACAATTAAAGAAACTTGCCCAATAGAAGGAGATACACTAGTCTACTCAAGAAACAAGGTTAGGAAAGATACTAGGTCTCCAAACACTACCCTATTCAAGACTGAGAAGAAATTAAGTCTCCAAGAAAGAAAATGTTAATGTCATTGGTCTCTCGGAGAGTTCTTATGTTAGTGTTAGTAGCAATAAGTGCAACAATTCTGATTACGTTTGGGAAGAAAATAGAAGATGATACCTTTACTATGGATGGAGTTACTGGCTTCCACATTCCATCTTAATGATGTGAGAAATAAAGAATTATTGCCACAAATGCAGAGAATGCTCTATCACTTCAGAATCAGAGGAAAGCCCTTTGTGTTAATAAGAATTTTTTTTTTTTTTTTTTGAAGTTCTGGAAGAGATAAAGTGTGTCGAGGAGCAATATGGGGAAGAGGGTGTAGATTTTAATTAGGAGTCTGGATTTATTTTTGTTCTAATTTCAAGTGAACTGTGAAAAAAAAAATAAAAGAAAAGAAAAAAGAAGGATCTCAAAAGTCTGAGAAAGAAATTAAGTAGAACATTTTGGAGGGCTAGTGCATGGTTGTTTGTAGTAAAGCTTGAGGATCAGTATTTGTTAAGTCTTTTCGGGGGGATTATGTTGGGCTGTTTCTCATATCTTAGAAAGGAGTTTATGTAACTTTACTTGTAACTTTCCATATTATCAATGAAATGTGATGTTCCCTTTGAAAAGGAAAAAAAATCAAGGAAACTTGCCTGAAAATGCAACTAATAAACCTTGAACTTCTTGAGACCAATCAAATCCATGAATAGCCCCATACACACCACCATAATCCCTAGTCCATAGCTTCTGGCCAATTTTCCAAACTGCAACCAATTCTGGTCGGCTCTCTCTTACAGTAGAAGGTACTGCTTTCCAGAGAAATCGGGCACTATTACTGCAAGAGACCACTTAACAGTTAGCTGATAATCCACAAATCCGGATAAGGAAACTCAACTTCAACCTAGAGTAGTTATGATATGAACTAAATTATGACAAGATTCAACCTCAAAATTGAATGAAAAAATAAATAAATCAGGGAAAAGGAATCCAAAATAAAAATTTGAATGTGAGTCTAAAATAAAATCTATAAATAATTTACATATGGACTTACCCAACCAAATGCAGACCAACGTATTCCAAAACATAACTCCAATACAGAGCCCTATATGCAAGTTTGAAGGATGGCAGATAAAGGAAAATGAAACAACTAAAGAATATTTCTAAGAGACATCAACAGGACAATTTTGACCATATTGCTTCTGTCTTTTTTGACAAAAAAAAAAGGGATCAAAGCCAAGAAATAATTCATATTTCCTCAAGAACATATTCCTGAAGAAAACTGAAGATCACGTTGAACTCTTACATTGGTGTTGAGAATTTTCATATGAGCCAATAATCAAATAAAACATTATCTAACACAATTTCCCAGCCTAGTGCCCTAATCCTTTTTTTTTCTTTTACAAGGAAACAGAACTTCTCATTGTAGCTACAAAGTACAAAGAACTCCCATTAGAGGAGTAAAACCAACCCTTTGAAGAAACCCACAAAACACAATGGCGCTCCAAACCCAGACCAAAGACAAGAACCACAAAACTTTCCGCCATGAAACAGTCTAGTATCCTAATCAACCCAACCATATACTTGATCAAATTATTAAGGTATTTAGCAGTAACAAATTGGCAGTTCCCTCAAACCAAAACGACTGAATAAATCAAACAAATAACCTAAAAAATCACTGAAAATGAATAGGAATCGGGGAAAATGATCTTACATATCGTCAACGTAAAGGTGGCCGAGAATGTGGATTGCGTAAGGCCATTCGTCCTGAAAAGCAATGCCCTCAGCGGCAGCCTGTTCAAGTAATGGAAATTTAAGCAAAACGAAGAGGATAAATCAGGCCAGGGTTTTGGAGAGTCGTGAAAAAGAATTAAAGATGAAGCGTAATGAAAAACTGAGAGATATTAGTTTCCTGAAGCATGAGGTCGTCGCAGATATCAGCGATCTTCTCATAAGACTTTGAGGCCAAGGCCTCTGTGAGATGAGCAAAATCCATGATTGCTGCTCTTGCTCTCTCGGCTGCTCCTCTTCCTGTGCTGCTAAAACCAATTCGGTTATTTAAGGCCCGTTCGAGGACCCTTTCAAAAACCAATTCGTTTTTTATTTTTTATTTTTGGTTTTTAAGAAACGGATTGTTTGATAACAAATTTAAATTTCTGTTTTAAAAAATAATTTTGAAATTCCATGTAAATTTTTAAAAATATATATATAGTTTTCAAAAGACAAATAAGTAGCATTCGTCCGTTGAACATTGGGATGGGACAGTAACGAGCAAAATGTCAAGCGACTCAAGAGAAGAAGAATGAAACGAAGTGAGAGGTCGGAGGAAGTGATCATCGGAAGGGGAGCTAAGGTTTGCTATTTGTTTTCTTCCTTTTTTTCGATATTCCTTTTTCCCGTATTCTGAAACACGGAAAAAAATCATTGGCTTATCAAATTAGCTATTCCAGTACACAAACAAGGTGGGTTGGGGTTTAGGAGGTATTTTGAGCGCATACTTTTTGCTTTAATAGAGAAAGGGCTTGACCACTTGCACATCACTCTTCTAATAATAAAGAGCAGCCAGCATCTTTATCATATTCTAATAACGACCAGTTGCCTACGGATTCTCCTTCATCCTCTATCGCAGTAGAGCCATCCTGCTGATGCAATAGTTCTACGACATTCATGATCAGAATCGACTCCTGGACTGGCATTCAATTGAATCAACAACCTTATTTATATATTACAAAAAAGAAAGTGTCCGGGGGTTGAAGTTCAGTTTCTTTTTTTTTCGTCTGAATATTCTGGAGCTAAGACCCTTCCAATGCTCCCTTTCGCCATGCATAAACTGCACCTAGGAACTGGGTATTCAATGGGCTATGAATCCGGATACTTACCCCTTTACAGAACTGAAACGAAGATTCAAGGATTTTTGCCGACTCAAGCGAGACGAGATTGAGCCCCCACCTCGAGTTCATGGAGTAGACTCCTCTCTGAGTCTGGGGGTGGAAGGGAAGATGGATCTAATATCTCTTTGAGGTTATATTCTTTCCGTATGATTCTTAATCTATCTATTAATAAAATCAGATTCGGGTATATCTCTTGTTCGATCTTTTGATATTCTCTAGATACTTATTCTCAGAAATCATGATAAAGGCGTGGTTAACCTTCATGATTGAGAATTCCTAGTTAGGGGATATGAAAAAGATTGGATATGGATCGATCGATCGAAGAATTTGATTTAATTAGAAGATAGATTATTATCATAGTTAAAGAATATATTCTTACTAAGATTTTAATTTCATCTCCTAGATATCTCCAGATTCTCTCTTTCCCTCTCTTATGCTCTCCAAACTTCTATCTAAAATCTCTCCCCACTCTCAACCGATCATTGACACAGCTTCCTCTTCTTCCTCTTCTTTGAGCAAACAAAAATCAGAAAATGATTTTTCAAAGGTTTTAGCCGAGCATAATTCAGCCGAAGACCATCTGGCAAAGGTTGAAGATCGTCTCAAAAATTGGTCTATCCCTAAGATAGATCCAAATCAGGTATATAAGATAAATACCTTCAAGTTCTCCCAGCAAGATGTTATCGTTATCACCGAGGAGAACGTTGCTATGAAGGATGAATTCACTAAGATCACCCTTCTCCCTGAAGAAACCCTCTTCAAGGTCAAAAACAAATTCAAGTACCTCCATATTGGATGCGTTCAAGTTGCTTTGAAACGTCTCTTTAGAGAAGGCTTAGATGTCCTAGTTTATCTCGCCCTAAAACATAAGGGGCATCTCAGATTTACTCCCTCTCTGCTAGGGATCGTTGAATCCAATTTTTGATAAAGAACTAGCACGATAACATCTTGCTGGGAGAAATTGAAGGTATTTATCTTATATACCTGATTTGGATCTATCTTAGGGATATACCAATTTTTTAGACGATCTTCAACCTTTGCCAGATGGGCTTCGGCTGAATTATGCTCGGCTAAAACCTTTGAAAAATCATTTTCTGATTTTTGTTTGCTCGAAGAAGAGGAAGAAGAGGAAGCTGTGTCAACGATCGGTTGAGAGTGGGGAGAGATTTTGATAGAAGTTTGGAGAGCATAAGAGAGGGAAAGAGAGAATCTGGAGATATCTAGGAGATGGAATTAAAATCTTAGTAAGAATATATTCTTTAATTATGATAATAATCTATCTTCTAATTAAATCAAATTCGTCGATCGATCAATCCATATCCAATCTTTTTCATATCCCCTAACTAGGAATTCTCAATCATGAAGGTTAACCACACCTTTATCATGATTTCTGAGAATAAGTAGCTAGAGAATATCAAAAGATCGAACAAGAGAGATACTCGAATGTGATTTCATTAATAAATAGATTAAGAATCATACAAAAGGAATATAACCTCAAAGAGATATTAGATCCATCTTCCCTTCCACCCCCAGACTCAGAGAGGAGTCTACTCCATAAAAGAGAAGAGAGAAGAAAAGAAGAGTCGGAAAAGCTCTTATACCATTTCTGGTCGAGGCCAAGTGCTATATATAGAAAAGAACCAATAATTGTAACTGGCATCTTATCTCTTAGGAATCTACTTTATAAAAAGTAAAGATAAGCGTGGCCGACAGGGGGCATCTTATCTTTTAAAAAGTAAGAAAAGAAATAAAGTAAAGCGGAAAATTATTACAAACCGGCAAATTAAAGTAAAGACAGAAACTGAAAGCTAATATGACTGTTTTCGGATTGGAAACTTGGTTCAGAAGTTTTGATGAAGTTACCCGGCTTCTTCTGATCTAGCGAGGATTGCAGATTCTGTATATCATCGTAAAGGCTTCTCCGGCGTCCGATTAGGCCATTCCATCCAAGGTCTTACTCATGGCCTCTCGCCTAAACTGCCCAAGGAACACCTTCGATCTTCGACCAAGCTTGCCTTGTGAGATATAGAATCCTCTCAACTGAGTCGATCCTATATGCTAACTGCGCTGCCTCGTGGTTGGTTACTCCACATCAGAAGCTTGCCATCTACTTCATCTGAATTTCTTCTGTAGTTCCTTCACGAAAACAGACTGGGATAGTGATGATAAGATCGGAATACAATGATCTTATCCAAAAACGAAATTTAAACAAATTAATTTACATTAATTTACAGTAAGAAAATTAAATTAAACACTTGAGATATCTAGCTTCAGAATCAGCAGGGCTATGAGTCTAGATATGGATCATTGATGTCGTAGCCTTCGAAGGGATTGAAGTCGTCTTCGTCGTCTTCAACATCATTATTGACAGAGACGGAGGAATCAACATCCGCCTGAAGGTCGTCTGGATCAGAGATTTGAACCGCGACGGTATTCAGAACAGAGTTGAAGTCGGCTTGAGATCCGGCTCCAGCTAGCGAGCTCATGACGGCGTTTTTGGCTAGAAGGAAACTCTCGTCTTCTTGCCTCGTCATGTCTTGAAGATGAACATTGGTCTTGAACCAGATTTTCATCTTTTCAGCTTCTAGGTAGGAATAATCAAATTTCTCCCACCATTTGATGCGTAAAGCTTTGCTCAACGTTTTGAAATTGCCACTGGACCCTAGCTGGAAATTTCAGCAAAAGATCCATAGAATTTGGAAATACAAAGCAAATCTAAACGTCTTAGAGAGGGGAGACGAATAGATACTTTGTTGGAAAAGATGGTACGAACGTTGAACTTCGACTGGGAAAATTTTCTCGGAGAGTCCAAAATACGTCCAACAACTTTGAAACCAATTTGGAAAGTGAGATTTGTAAACAATATACCACGCCTTCATGTAGTCGCGATAATTGTAGGTTTGTGGCTGGAAGGGTCTTGTAAGTTTCTTCCCTACAAACATACCCTGTTTCTAGGGGGAAGGGGTAAGAATTCGGAAGATTCCGAGTTTTGAATAAATGGTCCTAGAAGGATCATTTTTATCTGGAACATGAGTTATTTCTGCTGATTTAGAATCAACCAGAATAAACTCATAAAAGGTACGAGTCTTTTGAAGATCCTCTGGCATGAAGTTAAAATTGTGAGGAAATATTTGTTTGCAGACTTCTTGGACCGAAGGTCCGTCGAATTATGGTTCGATGGTTGAATCCACCATGGTAGTTTTGGTGAAATAACCATTAATTGGGGGCCTTGGCTGAAAAACCTTTGGCCTGACGATTTGAGAGAACGAGGAAGGATTCCTCGGAACAGTAGGTTTTGAAGAGGCGGCTGCCGTAGCATGGTGCCTATTTTTCGTTGTAGTGCCGAAAGGGCGTAACAACGTACTTGAGGGAATTGGAAGGCTGGATGGGCCTGATTGTATTGACAAGGTCTTTTGTGAAGAACCTTGTTGACGTCTGGATATTGTTTCGAACTAAATATCCATGGTGTAGTTTTCTGCACTCATCGGAGATGGTACAGATGATTGAGAAATAGGCTTTTTGCCCTTTAAGGTAGCAGCTCTGGAAGAGGATGCTACAGTTTGAGGAGAAATGGTGTTATCATTTCTCGGCGACGGGGGTCGCTAGTTGTTCTGCGGCGGGGGCCGCTGAGTGTTTGACCGCCTTCGGCCGGGAGGAGGTTCCATCAGGAGGAAGAGAGGTCAGGGCTGATTTAGGTGTTTTCAAGATGTGTTCTCTTGAGAGGTAATCAGCAAGTGAATTCTCGCGTCCTTTTATAGGCACGATTTGAAAGTCGAAGCAAGACAGTATGACCTACCATCTTGCAAAAATTTGCTTTGAGACCAAATTCTTTACATCTTTTTCAAAGATGAATTTGCTTGCCTTTGAATCCGTTCGGATTGTGAAATCTTTATTGATAAGATCTCCCTGGAATTTTTGTACTCAAAGTACTATTGCTAATACCTCTTTCTTTACTGTGGAATGGTTTTTCTGTGCACTATTCCAAATGCCTGAATGGTAATGGATAATCATGATTTTTCCGTTAACTTCCTGTTTGAGTATACCGCCGTAACCAATTTCTGACGCGTCGGTGTCTACTATGAGCCGTGCTTGATCATTCACAAGTGATAAGCATGGGATGCTTTTTGCCAAAGATTTGATGGATTGGACTGCGCGTGTATGT